CATTTAGGATTAATAATGCAAAAATACAGATATTTGCACAAAAAAACCCAAACAAGTGAATCCAGTTATGCTACTATAGGTACCTTAAAATCTTCAAAATTTGTTCAAAAGAAGGTTTATATGTGCTATGCTCTTTCCCATGGGTAAGTCCTATTTCTAATTAATACAAACACTTAAAAAAGAAGACTAGATTATGTTCATCACAAATTTAATGAAATTACTATAATCTAATTTAGAAGTGCCATTTATGACTCTGTAGTTTCAAACAGAATTAGGTTCTGCACCTAAATTTAGAGCCAAACTCTGGTGTATAGGAAAAAAAAACCTTCCCCACATTATTTTATTTACCACTTAAGTACTAAATGTACTCTGAGAACTCACAAGTAAAAGCTCATACTAATTTTAAAACGGGTTTTCAGTAAAATGTAGCAATTTGCAAACATTTTATTTTTTGCTCTCTGTATGACCTTAGCAAGGAAACAAGACAGATTAACCAAACAGCTCAAACTGACTAAAACGCTGTGGATAGGTTATAACAAGGATTTTTGTGTTTTTAATACTTCATAACCAAAAATGTGCTCCTGTAGGATTGGGCTTAAATTGCCATTCCAAAATTTATCTTCTCTCTGTTATCCCTGAACTATAGTGTCATGTTGCATTTGCAGCTAAAATACCTACTTGGCTGTTGTCAGAAGGATTAAATGTTTATCTTCATAGGTTGATAAAATAAAGTATTATGATCTATAAACTCTGGGAGTTAAAATTTAAGACCACCTGATAGGAAATCCAGAAAATTAAGGTATTTAACTCATTGACTGTATCTTGAAGGCCTGTTTTTGCCAAACATAAGCAGGATTAGGAAGGCACAATTGCAATTGGCATGGGGATTCCATATCAGTTTTAACAAAAACCTATAACTGTACTGGCCTCCATGGGTTTTGCATAAAGAGTGGGTAATGAACATACTGAAACTATGACTATACTATCAATACACACAATACAGCAAGAGTTAAAGGATGTTTATTGCATTGCAAGACTACCCAGTAATAACACTGGAGACCAGTTTGGAAAAGAACAGAAATCTCATGCTTTGGGGTTTAAAGGTAGTCCATAACCATTTGGGAAGCAATTCTTTGAGAAGATTAATTTGCCAGTTCTTGGACCTTTTCATGGGTAATCAGTTGCTGTGCACAGCAAAAGAAAATGTGTTAGAGTAGATTAATTGTATACCTGGTAAAGTACAACTGTTACTGTGCCCTTAACTGAGGCCTTGATTTCAAAGTTATTAACCTCATACTCTACAAAGTCAATTCAACTCTATGATTGTTCTCCAAGAAAACCCTGAGTTCTACTTGGGAGACCTATTTTCATGAGGAACAGGTACACCACACACCAACAAAATGTACATCTTCATTCTTATTCAGTTTTTCCCAACTGTGTCATCCCCTAACAAGCAACCTTCTGAAAAAATAATAAAAAAAATTTATGTTCTGTCTGCTCAAAGTTCTAGTTAAATGATTTATAACATCCTAACTGTGAGCTTCTCACTTCCTTTATTAATAGCAGATCTTTCCCCAGTGCCATATTTTAGTTTCTGGATGGTCTGGGCAAACACAGGTGAGCCTAAAAATACTTACCAGAGAAAAAAAACCCAACACATATACAGGGAAAATACAAAGAAGCAAACCCAAGGAAATTAGGTCTATCCCAATTAAAATTAACAAAGACTTCAGTAGCTTATTCTGCTGGATCATGCCTAGTTTTAGGATGATGCTGCTATCTCACACGTTCAATTCAACTAATGTGAACTATAATCAATATTTTCATGATTTGCACTTGGATACCAAATCCCAAGAGCAGTCCCTAGATGCAGCCTAAACTGTACCTCAGCTTCCTGCTGTCACAAAATAGGTAAGACAACATTTCACATTGCTTGAGTACTTTGAAAATGGTGCCACTGATTCATTATTACAGCTACCAACATCTAAATTTATCATGCTTAAAACAGGACATAGCTATTTCATACGTTCATAATAGTTTCAAGAATATTTCATTCTTTCAATAGGGAAGATCACATTAATGATTTAAATACAAATGCCAAAAGTAACTCATTGAGAGCATCTCGATGTAAAATATTCAGTTTTCTCCTGTTAAACTCTAATCTGTATCGCAAAAAGACACTGTGGTCATAACCAATCTAAAAATGCCACAAAATGGAGAGCTGGCTTTCAGGTGTGTTACAAATGAAATCAGGAGTGTTACCGTTCAAAACAGCGTTCTGCTAGAGGATTGGATCTGTCTTTTCAGTCAAGCAGACCTCCCACAAACTTCAGAAAGGCAACTTATTTACATAAAAACTGCAGGGAAAGGCCCTTTAATTCTTAAGTATGAGTCAGCTTTTATGTTTCACTTCTAAATGAGAATTTTTATAATCAGCAAAGAAAGGAAAACCAGTCTGAGGTGCTACTTAGGCCGTTAGCCCAGATGCCTCAACGCTGCAGATCACAAACCAAAACTGCCATTAGCTTTACCCAGTTCTGAGAGCAGCAGGATCACCGACCCCTGCAGATCACAAACCCAAACTGCCATTAGCTTTACCCAGTTCTGCGAGCAGCAGGATCACAGATCCTTAAATATGCAGCCCATATAACTTATGTAACTGAGCATGCAAACACCCAGCTGAAATACCAGAAGTGCCGGACAACAAAAGCTCGGGGAGGATGGAATTTGGGTTATGTGTGTGTGGTGTACTTTTAATCCGACGCAGACTGAGCGAGGTACAAATTGCGGCTGGCTCTGGCCCTGGAGCAGGCAGGGGAAGCTGCGCCTGCGTCGGGCCCCACTGCCCCGCTTCCCTTGCCACAGCGCAGGGCCCTCGCTGCTTCTGGGGCTTCCTTCAAACCCGCTCCTGGCGCTCCTGAAGTGAGGCACAGCTGCTCAAGTGGAGCCCGTGGAATAAACACTGCAGAGTGTCAGGAGCACATGAGCACCGAGTGTTTTGGAAGTTTGCTTTCGGCATACCTTTGTATCTTGGAAAAAGGAATCCGGTATTTTGTGTACCATAGACTTCTGCAGTGACATGCATTCATAAGCTAGTGCTGCTGCAAGCAACCAAAAGGCTTCCTACACAAATATTTACTTTGTTGAGAACATTTTAACCTGAGAGCTAAGACAGGCAAATATTAGCTACTGAAATCTTCTTCAAATGACATATTCCTTTACACATATTCCAAGTAGATCTATCAGGACATAACACTAACTGTCTTCAAGTAATATCAAAGCAAACAAGGGAAATAATGGAGATTAGGAAAAAAAATAATTTCATCTTATGTTGCTTATTTTCACAAATAAGCTGTACAAAATAAGAATATATCTCACTAAATACACATCTTGGTCCTTATCACATGACTTAAACACGATAAAACCATGCTGAGTTTTAGCCTTACCTAGAAATCTCTGAATAATGTACCTTGATTGTTTGTGTTATCTTTTTACTGACATGACAAAAAAAGGAAATCACTGTACTGAATACCTGGAGTTTCACAAAATGCTAAATTACTGTGTACCTAAGCAAAAGTAGTCAAATGCAAGCCTGGAAAGCAGGTATGATTCTAATGCACTCACCACTGACAGTCTATTAAGCTACAGAATCATTTGAGTCAAAAGGCTGGAAGCTGTTGTGGTTCAGGATAACAAAGAACTAGAAGATTTTGTAAAACCTATCTAAAGGTCTCAGATTCTTTAAGCCATAGGGGCTCATTCTTCTCCCCCTGCACTCCGCAAGAGTTTTGACACCAGCTGTAGCTGCAAGCCAAACAGAACTAGAAACATGGTATGTGAGATCAGGGAAGCTGTGTGTCTCACAAGGACCAGATCTGCACACAAAATGTCTCATAGGCTTGTCTTGGTTGTTTATATTTCTTTCTTCTTTCCAAAACACAAAAAGAAATAATGATGTGCGAGAGTTGACTGTCATCTAAATTTCAGATCAATTTGCATCTGACTGATAAAAGCAAAGTATACTTAATAGGTGGAGTCCATTTACTCCTAGTAATGTAAATTACACTAATTAAAAATTCTGGTTTTGAAGATTCTAATCAAAACAAATAAGCAAACAGAACTTCTAGTGAAGTCACCAGAATTCACATAAAACTGACAGGTAATAGCAGAAGACCATAAACACCTTTCATATTTTGTCTTCATTATGAAAGTATGATTTTCATATTCCAGAGCTGGTCAGAAGTACCAAATAGTTTGTACTGTTTTACCACTGTAAATAGTTTGTACTGTTTTAAGACCACCACTAAAAGCTTTATTACAGAAAACAGATACAGACCAAAACTACAGACCAAAACACATACAGGGATATCTTATGCTTTCTACTCGTAGAAAATTCCCACTTAAGGAAGTGCAGAGCAGATTTGGCAATTCTGGAATTTATGCTGCCCCACTAAGTTTGCTATCATGCAATCAGAAACTTCAGTACTAACTGTAAACAGCCACCCTGAATCTACATCCAGCTCCTCACAAATTAATGAAGTCCTGGGTTCAGCAGTCACTGCACTGTTTTTAATTTCTAGTTTGTGCCTTTTTCTTAAAACAGAGAAGGAAAAGCAGGGAGGATGAGAAGAGTGAGGAGGGGAAGTAGATGTATACAATCTTCAATTTCTAAAGACTTGTAAATGTTATCGGTACGAACACCAATTGATCTGCTTTCCTGTCCACAATCCTGTCAGCCGTTTGGGGTCCAAGTGTGAACTCGGAATTCAGCCCTGAGTGCTGAAATCAAGATTTCTACGAATTTACTGACCATCTCTGCAAGAGGAAGAAAAAAGCATCCACTGGATCTCTGTCTTTTCATTCCAAAGTCCTTATACAACCACTGCAGTTCTCAAGTAAAACGCTTATTGGTATCATATTACTACCCCCCCACACATCCCCCAACCCACGGTAGCTTTTATTATTCCCATAGAAAATAAAAATAAAAATACAGCCTTTACCTTACAGATCTGAAAATAATCTGAAGTGAGCGTCTCTTGGATCTCCTCTCTGGGCGTCCCTGCAGCTCCCGCAGTCCCTCCTGGGTGCACGGAGCCACCAGCCCCACTTCCACTGCCACCGCCACTGCTTCCAACAGGGGATGCGGCAGTTAAACCATCCAAAACTTTGCGAAAATTAAACTTCTTCATTTTGGAAAAATCTTTAGGAAGATTTGTGGGGGGAGAAAGGATGTGTCGTAACACATTCAGCTACATGTAGCGACCGAGAAAGTCTTTAATGGTCCTCTGAGTGAGGCAGCACTTTAAGTCTCTTGTGCCAAACAGAATGTCAATATTAGGTATAATTGATCGAAAAATACAAAGGCTTCATTTTGTCAGACGCAAAAGCTACCTGGAATGGTCCTTTCCAAAAATAATTAAATAAATAAATAAATAAAAAATCCACAAGCAGCAGGACTAAGATTTACGTTCAAACAAGGAACAATGGAACAACCGCCATCGGGTTCGCTCGCAAAATCCACATTTAGCAGTGGTCAAAACAGAAAAGTAAATAAAAAATTCAAGCCGGCATCCAAAACAGCGGGATCCATCCCTTTACCTTATCTGCCTAAGATCTGCCTTCGGCACTTGATTATTTCAGCAAAACTACCAAAATGCGTCTACACTCAATTTCCCCTTCCCCTCAAAAACCCCTTTGAGCCAGGGGTATCTCTGCTCCCGGAGGTTTCCGCGGAGCGGATTCCCCGTTCCCAGCCGCTGGTGCGACTCCTGTTTCTGGTTCCCTGCCCACCCCAGCAAACGCCGGCAGCCGCTGCCGCACTCGGCGCTCCTCTCTCTCCCCCGGGCTCCCCGGCGCGGTGCGAGAGCCCCTCGCTCTCCTCGCCGCCCCGGCCGCCGCTCCGTGAGGAGCGACGACAGCGAGCGACCCTCTAAGCCAGTCCTGCCGTCCCGGGCTGACCACCCGTCCCGTCCCTGTGCTGACGGACCCCCGCCCGATCACCGAGCCTGTGCCGCTGCCGTGCTCTCCCCCCGGAACCGCTCCGGCGGGACCGGGCTCCCTCCGGCGCCGGGGGGACGCGGGGCGGGGAGGGGCGGGTGAGGGGCGGGTGAGGAGCGGAGCGGGGCAGGTGAGCGGGCAGCGGAGGGTGGCGGTGGCGGTGGCCGCTCCTGCCCGCCCGGCGCGCTCGCAGCCGTTCTCCGAGGTACTGAAAGCTCCGCCGGCGTCAGCCGCAGCTCCTCCTCCTCGCCCTTCCTCCTCCTCCTCTCTTTCCCTGCCTCCCGCCCCCGTCCGCCAGGCCCCGCCTGCCGCACCCTCGCGCAGCCGGCTCCCGCCCCCCGCTCCGGCTCGGCTGCGGGGGGGGGGGGGGGGGGGGGGAGAGGCGGGGAAACGTCAGTGATTGGCAGGCACGCGCGGGCTCCTATTCCTCGCTGCGGCCGCCGCGGGGACGGGACTGGCGAGCAGGGCAGAAGGGGCGGCTCCAGATAGGGAACAAGCGATGTCTGACTGCCCCGCGATCTTTAGCCTCTGATTGGAGCGCTGCGAGGATGGGCACCCACTCTCACCAATAGGAGCAGAGCTCCTCGGCTCCCCGCCCCCAGCCCGGCGGGATGGGCGGGGCCAGGGGAGTCTCCGCCCCACTGCGGCGAGAGCGGCAGTAGCGGCCGCGGAGCTGCTGAGGGGGAGCAGCCGCGGGGCAGCGGGTCTGGCGGGGAGCAGGGTTTGTGGCGATGGAGGGGACTGAAAGTTGGTGTCGCAGCTTCAGCTACGTGCGGGAGGTCGAACAGACCCAGAATTCGGCATAAAGTTGTGTCAGGGGATACTTGGGTCGGATATTATGAAAAGGTTCTTCCCCCCGAGGGTGTTTGGGCACTGGAACAGGCTCCCCAGGGCAGTGGTCACAGCAGCCAGGCTGACAGAGTTCAAGAAGCGTTTGGACAATGCCCTCAGGCACATGGTGTGACTCTGGGGGGTGGTTCTGTGCCGGGCAGGAGGTATACTCAGTGATCCTCGTGGGTTGTTTCCAAGCCAGGATATTGCGTGATTCTGTGCAAGTGTCCCGGGAGGTGACGGTCTCGGCGGTGGCAGGAGGGGTCCTGCCTGAGGAGCCCCCATCTCTGGCCGTGGCACCGAGCGGTCTGTGCGGGTCGGTGCTCAGCCCGCGCACTGACATTGCCTCCTCGGGGGCAAATCCCTTTTTCCTTCCCGGGAGGAGTACAAAGGAGCCAGGGCTGCCCTTCTCGAGGCTCGCTCCGAAGCCGTGCAAATCGCCTGGGACAGCTCTGTGGCCTCCGAAGCGCGATCCGGCACAGGAGGTGTTACACTGCACACAAGCCTCTATAAAAAGGTTATTCAGGTCAGGAACAAATGAGGCAGCGATTAAAAGTGACTCATGGCACAGCGCTGTCAGCGTGGTTGGAAGCCGAGAATTGAATAAAATGGTGTAAGGAATAAGCACATAACACCTCTCCTGTATAGGAATTAATCTGTAACACCTCACCAAAGTGTTGCACCTTCCTCACACTTGAGGTGACCAATGAGCCCATACTGGTCACCTCATTTTTCACATGTTTTAGGGGTGCTTAGTGTAGTTCTGGTACCCACTCTAACCCCTAATTTGGTTTTTATGAATCTTACAGTTCTGTGAAGCAAGATAATAGTTTTTATTTCAGCATCTTAAACTGAGATCCATGTTTTGTTCTTTTTTTTTTCCACTTTAGCTCATCCATTTGTGTTCACAGGTACTCCCCATCTGCATGATAAAAAGATTGCAGTAAAGTTCAAAGAATAAGTGTAGCTTCACTTAATGCCCTCATGAAAAATAAAGGGCACATTGCTGATGAAACTGGAAAGGTTGATAGGTTTCCGTAGCCAGGAAAAAAAGGGAACAAAACTTCATGTGGGAAACAAAATATATGAGGACTATGGCAAGGAGACAGAAATTAAACAGGGAATGGAACTGAGTAAGCAAATCTGTAAAGATAAAAGTACAGAGTTTTGAAGAATGAGGAAAAGTCAAAACCCAGTTGAAGCTATTTGAAGAATGTCATGTCCTACTAATACTATGTTCACCAGAGGCAATGCAAGTTTAAAAAAAAAGGCTAACAAAACCCAAAAGAAAGATAACGACATGAATTGTAAACAGGAAAGGGAAAGATAAGGTAAAAAATTAAATAATTAAGATGAAGAAAATGTCACAGAGACTTGCAAAAACTCTGTCTGAGAGTCAGGGGGTACTAGAGGAAGAAAATCTGATAACACAATAGTTTTACAGTTCTAGGGAGGACAGAGATAAGACAGTTTGTTTTAAGTCAAGAAAAGGATGAAAATTAGAAGAATGAATGATAACTTTGGAGTTGGAATAAGGTGCAGACATTTTTTGAATACCAACAACATTTCTCTTCCAGAGAATCGCTATGGAGAGCTGGGTATTGATGATGAGATACCTCAGAGTATCCAAAAGGGCAAGCAAGGATCCTCACACTGCCAGTCTGCTGTTAGGAAAACTGACCTGTAGGGGAAAAAAACTAAACAAAACAAACTGACTAATAAAATAGAATCAGTCCTGTTTATAAACACCTACTGAGGAAAAAAAACCAAACTTGGTCTCACTACTGGTGCATGTGAGGCATGTATGTCTCTTTTGGAAGTTTTTCTCTAAGCTGGACACAAATCCAGAGGCAGAGAGGGAGTGATGGAAATGAGAGTTGTGGGATGGTGCAGAGGGAGAGAGGACAATGCAGGACACAGGCAAACTCAGTTACAGTTCTGACAGGCACAGAAAGAAGCCCCACGGAATGACCACATTGCTGAGAAGTTTTGTTGTATAACAACAACAACAAAAAAAGGGAACAATTTGGTTTTGAAGCAGTAGAAAAACCTATTGCTTCTTTTTTTTTTTTTTTTTTTTTTTTTCCAGTGGAGAAAAAAGCAGTAGACTCGAGGCATTCTGTTGCTGACTTGTACTGGTTTAGATGGTATTGGTGTTTCATAGGATACTTGTGAGATTGCCACCACGAGTTTTAATAAAAGTTGATAAAATTAGGAAAATATGGAAATGTTTTAGATATTAAATTGATACACAAATGAAGTTAAATAATACATGCCAGTGCATTGTGGGAAATATGTATCTGAATCTGTATTTTAGATAGTAATAAGAGGGTATTCTCTTCAGTGTCTTTTTTTTTAATAGTATCTTTTACATTTAGTAGTCATCTTGTTCTGCAAGGTCAAACAGAAACCAAATGTTAAAAGTATAACAGTTTACTACAAAGATTTTGCTGAGAAAGAGTATCTTTAACAGTCCACACCATCAAAATTCATATGAACTTTCATTCTGATTTTTGCTTAAGGAAGCTTGTGATTATGTGCAGTAATATAAAAAAGATTGGTCAGAATAAAACCTGGCAAAGGAGAGTAATATTAATTCAGTGTTTTCTCAATCTGATTCAAGAACTGATGAAGAAAATGAAGAATTGGGAAAGATGTGCTTAGATCAGCTGACCAGAAAGTGATAATATTAGAGATTGGATATGTTTTGTGTATAACTGATCATTAATGTTCCGGTCAGTTCTCTGACTTTCTTGTTTAATTTTTAGCAAATCCTGCTTCAGCCTGTGGACTAGAGTTTCCTGACTTCAAAGCTGAAAACATATTTTAATCTCAGGTTGCATTTTTGGTAGTTTAAAAAAAATACATGCAGAAGTGTGCAATAAGTGATGGTTTCACAGTTGGCACTTTTTTAGTGATTCATGTGAGTCCCTTTGATAATCCATGTGTTAGCAGTTAAAAGCAATGACCCTTGAGAGAAATCACTGCATGCCCACCAGCAGTGGGCTGGACCACAGCCTCGCAACTACACCCTGACAAAGAACTTCTGTGCCTCTAGAGAAACGAAGGAAAAAGGTGTCATCAAATACCAGAAACACATTTATGCCAATGTAGGCAAAACTGTGACTTTGCACAGCTACCTATTCCTCATTACACTGTGGGACATTTGCCAGGGTTGCCCATGTTTCTGTGTAATTCCAGAACATCGAATGGCAGCAAGCATAGTGTTCCTGCCTGCAGAGCTCCACTAAAAATATCCCCAGTCGGTGCTGAATATCTGGTTAGAACAGCTTGCTGAACTCTATCAATTAGCCAGATCTTAATCTATTTAATGTGTTTTATTAAGGCTATATAATGCTAA